AGATATATATCGAAGAGAGTTGTCGTAGCATATAGAAGAATTATTGAGTCTTGATTCAACACCAGCATACATACAATAGAATCACATTTATTTACCCTAATTATCAATACAGAAATACACAAAAAGCTAGGGATTAATTCAAAAGTTGTAATAAACTTCAAACACATAATAATTAAGTAGTAGTTTAATTTATATATATAATAATACATACCTGATGAGCTACACCCCTCTAATCATGAATGCTTCTCTTGATGAAACAATGGAAAATCCAGGGTGGTTGCAGCTGAGTCATCAACTGAGTTAGGGTTCTGTTTTTCTTGATGAAACAATGGAAAGTCCAGGGTTGCAGCCGAGTCATCAACCGAGTTAGGGTTATCTCCCAATCGATGAACCTCGTTTGTGACTGCATCTAATTGATTATTGAAATTTAATCTCATGATGTCACTGTTCATCAAAAGATCCCAACTTCCGAAAAACCCCATGAAACCGCTGTCGGAATCCACGAAACAAGAAACGGCATCGGAGACGACAGGGGCGCAAGATAGTGTCGTCGAAGAGTTCGAATTTTCCAGCATCTTCTCGATCGTGCCGACGTCGTCCGCCAGTAGTTGCTGTTGGCTTGCAAGTAAATTAGAGGGGTAATATTCATCACTCCCGTATCCGGAACTAACCCTTTCGGCCAATTGGCTGTTATAGCAGACCGATTCTTGATCGAACGGGCTGTTCGAACAAGACCCTAATTTCTCAAGAACATCGTAATAATTAGGGCTTGAATATTTACACCAATAATTATACTGGCTAAGATCTTGATCAAGCCCTAATTTGACCATCATTTTCTCTCTTGTTCTGCACCTCGCCCTTGCCCTCGCCTTCTCCCTCGACTCCTTCGTGTTAGGTCTACTCGCATTTTTTTCCGATTTTTTCTCGATATTCGGCACAAACCCTAATTTCTTGGGCTCGAAATTCTCCTCGATTATTCGAGGTAATCCCACTTGTTCAGTGATGGATAAGCTATGATTATTATTATTATTATTATTATTATTAGTGTCTTTGTTGACCATGAGCTCCTTAATGGCTTTCTTGGATTTACTAAAGAGCCACTCGATGGTCTTGCTCGCTTTATCGTAGCCCAACAAATCTTGAAGATCGAAGAATTTACGAGCAGCTTGTAAAGACAACCTCATCCTCCTGTCTCGAATACCCTGCGCGGTGCGAATCTTGCTGTGCCGATCTTTCTTACCGGTCCTCTTCTTCGGCCCAACTCCGCCGTGATTAATCCGCCTCAGTACTACTCTCTGATCGCACGATGCTTTTCCTTTCGACTTCGTAACCCCATTCTTCACACTACTACTGCATTTTGCTGTGGTTTCCTTTCTGGCATAACAATTGTCGGAATCTTTTACATTCCGATCTGCTGCTACAAAGTGATGAATATTCTGATCAGACATGAGATTGTTATACGGGTTCGAGGGCAATAGTAATTCGTGGTGGTGGTCGAAAAGCGGCAACGGAAAATGGGAGAGATCGAACGAGTAGTACTTATCGGCCTCTTGTTTGGAGATAGGGTTTTGAATTTGACGAAAAGAAGACGGGGTTTCGAACGAGGAGGGATCGATAGGGTTATCGATGTTGTTGTTGTTGTCCGAATGAAACATGTTTGAAAATGCACCACTTATAATATTTTTTTCTTTATTAACTTTTTGGAAGGAGAGGTTTAAAGGGGCTA